TTTTAAAATATAATTGGTTATTTTTTGTTTTGCTTACGAATATGTTGCTGTGGCGACGATATGAAAGTGACAGATATTTTCTATTCGTAAAATGGCATACATATTACCTTCCGATTCAATTCAGAATACAGTTGATCATACTTTCCATTTTAACATCAACAAGAATTGAATAAAGATAATTTTCATTCGCGTAAATTCTTTCAGAAGAATTAAGTTATATGGATTAGCATATTACCAAAACTGAATAACCTAACGCACGTAAATGCATATTTGTAGCCGAATAAACTGGAAGTTTGGAAAACTGAACGTTTTCTGGAAGTTCCTTTAGGTATTGATTCAAAGTAACATAAGTAAAGTAAGATAAACATCCAGCAACAACAGAAATTTGCTCACGTTAGTCACTGGCAACCGTCCTCAGCGATTTCCAAAGTGAGAGAGTACAACAAGTATACTTTCAGTTCTGGTTAAATAAACAAAAGTGTGCTAATTTATTGGTAAATATGGAACGAAATTTCCATAGAGCTGCAACGATTTTTTTTGATATTCCGAGATCTAAAATTAACTAAAAGCTTGAATTTTATACTTAGCTTAGAAAGGTGGTGTAGAAGTATGTAAAACATTTAGAGTTTTTGGCTGTGGTATCAGACAGGTTCAAACAAACGGCTGTTCCTCGAAGGCAGTTTTGAATTCCACAAGCTAAATGTTTTCCTTATTTTTGTGTATATAAACTTTGGAAAGGATCAAAACAAAGCTACATGTTAATAAAGAAGAAAAACTATAAAGGGTAGGATTAACTTTCTAATTCGTTATGGTTTTCGGGGGATCACTACAATAGTACTGTTGTTATTCAATACACACGAGTTCAGTTGTAGTTACCATATCATAACCTATAATACTTGTGTAATTTGTAGTATAGTCTCTTGAAAACCGATTAACTTTCATTTTCTGTCACTAAGAATACAAACAGACAAACCAATCAACATTCACGCACACAAACGTAAATCTGTCGGAAAGCATTGCATTCAGTAGCGTAATCGTTGACGTCATATAATATGACGTTGAGTGGACATCAAACTATAAGCAATTTGAACACACAATTCAACGAAAATTTCTACCATTTTCTGTAGCTATCACTATGGAATTGCTTAACAAAGGTTATCAAAGGTGAATTTGAAATATGTATGTGTGTGTGAAGTAAAAAACAATCTCATTTGAGTTTCGCTTTGTTTGCATCTAAATTCAGATTCCAGTGCAGCAAATACGACATGCGGTTCTGATTGGTCAGTACAAAGTTTACATCACTACTGTATAAGCAGTTAGTGTACTGTTGTACAAGTAATGAATTATTATATTTTTTTTTTCAATGAATAATTGCTTATTTTTTTCTAGGAAAATATCCATACAAATATACATAAACTATTATAGAAATATTAATTCAAATATTTTCCTTGTCTCAGGTTTGTGTGATGGAACGAGCCTTTCCGGGTACTGGAGCAGAAACTGGAATAACCATTGGTACAACACAAGTGGTGACGTTGTATACACCACCACTGCCTGCAAAGTGTTTGACTGTACTTCTATCTGTCTGGAGGATACCGATTGTCTGATGTTTGGCTATAGTAATGTCACTGGTACCTGTCATGGATTCCGGTTCCTAGAATACAGCACGGTGTCCATTCTCGACGAGTCAGAGGTCATTTACAAACACATAGAAAGTAAGATACACAGAAACATTGTTTGGACGACTTTGACTGTACAAAACACAACATATAGCCGTGTTGATATATATTTATCACAACACCACGATACGATAATGAAATGATGTCACATGCAGTCCATATTACATTGTGACATCTTGAGGAATTTTCATGTAAAATAAGCTTTCGGCAATGTTTGACAAATAATTGATCACCTGATCAAATTTTTTATATTGATTGCCATTTAATAAGTGATATATCACTATCGTTAAAATGAAAACATCTAAGAATCCCGTAGGAGAAGTGTACCTTGTGCTAGATCCTGTGTATGTCGTTGAACAATATAGAGTGTTAAATAAATATCAAATTGCACAATGTTAAATACAAAAAGTAAACAGTACATTTTTAGTGGACAGTACCGTATAGAAAGACACATATACCCAAACAATGCTTCTTTGTAGCATTCAATGTATCAAGTATAGCCACAAGACAAGGACAGGATTATAGTAAAGAACTTGCGACTCAAGATTTGATCGTCTTTAATTCGACTTCGCTCCTTTGTTTACTATAGGTTGTATTCGGGCGGGTTACGTTCTACTAAAGGATAGAGCACTTTGTTTGAAAAAACATGACAGCTCTCTGACGTGGGACGAAGCGCAGGAGCAATGTGAAAATGAATATGGCCGACTTCCCGTTATTGACAGTCTTCAAAAATATGAGGCGTTTGTCAATTACATAGGTACGTTTCAATCAAACAACGTTTTAATAAATGTCCGTTTTTCTTCGAAAATATCAAAACGTGCTCGTTATCTAAAACATTTTAATTTATAATAAATCGATATATCTATTTATATGTTATAATTTTACACAACGTTCTACCAAAAATAAAAACCGTGTTAAAGTAAATCTAGGCCTGTATAAACTCTTTCATGCCTTCGTTGTAAGCAATGTAAACCGTTAAAGCTGGGCCTGTATTACTCTTAGCATCACATAAAAGGCCTACCATCTTCACACGTAAGATGCTATACTGAACAAAATAAGTTAAGGATCATAAACTTGAAACAGTGCAGTTTTACATACAAATAATAATATGATTATATTTTAAATTTTAATGACAGAACATTCATTTTAGTCTTTAATTACACAAAACAAATTCATTTGTGGTAATTGCTACCAAGAGCAGATAACCCTGAGTAACAGCACCCTTGAAATCAAAGTGTAAGAGGAAGTAGAGCAAGTTAATCATGTAGACAAGAAAAACTCATTAAACTGCAATTGGCAGTTTAATAGGCAGTATGACCTCCGTTGACATCAATAACTGCCCTGCAACGTCTGCACATGCTCCTTATTAGTCGTCGGTGGCTGATCTGTGGGATGCGCTGCCATTCCTCTTGCAGAGCAATCATAAGCTGTTGGCGGTTCTGTGGCGGATTAGGTCGAGCTGAAACCCGGCGTTGCAAGGTGTCCCAAGCATGCTCGATAGGGTTCAGATCAGGAGAACGACTTGGCCAGTCCATGCGAACGATTGCTTCACGTTGAAGATAGTCGTTGACCACACGAGCACGGTGAGGACGAGCATTATCATCCATCAGAATAAAATCATGGCCAACAACTCCTGCAATGGGCCTTACTATAGGGTGTAGAATCTCGTCCCTGTATCGAACAGCTGTTAAAGATCCATTGTCTATGATGTAGAGGTCTGTATGGAAGTCAACACTGATGCCTGCCCAAACCATCACTGACCCACCACCAAAGCGATCATGCTGGACAACACAGCAGTCTGCATAGCGCTCTCCTAGGGTTCTCCATACCCTCCTCCTACCGTCATGGAAGTCAACACAAAACCTAGACTCATCTGTGAACATAACATTTCTCCAATGACGTAATTGCCAATTCAAATGATGAATGGCCCATTGATGTCTGGATTGTCGATGACCTCTGGATAAAATTGGTCGGACTGCTGGTCTTCTAGCTCGTAAATTAGAGGCATGGAGTCTGTTTCTGATTGTCTGGGATGAAATCCTTAGATTTGTAGCACGCTGAAACTGAAGATTCAAGACAGGAGCACTCAAAAACCGCTGACGTCGTGCCGTGATGCAAATGAATCTGTCCTGTCGGGCTGTCGTACAGCGTGGTCGTCCAGATCTGGGGCGTTGACGGACGTTATTTGTCTGTTGATAGCGATTCCATAGCCTACTAATCACGCTCTGAGAAACATGAAGCTGTGCCGCCACATTTCGTTGAGTTTGACCAGCTTGAAGGAGCCCTATAGCTCGCGCGGCTTCCATATCATTTAAATGTCTTCGCATGATTAGTTTTTCAAGTTTTCGTTACAAATTGATTAAATGTTTCCAAATTCAACTTTTTTTAGCTTAGAAGTAACAGAATCAAAACCTGCAAGATTCCTCTGTAGTAATAGACCAGTCAGTTTTTCACACCACCATAGTTAACTAGAGCGGAACGGCAAGACCTTCAGATGCACGTGCTTTCACCTTTGACATGACTTTAGGTACATATTGGAGAAACTACGAGTGCAATTACCGGCAATACATGATTTGAATTTTTAAAGATATTATGGTCACAATTTATGATCCTTAACTTATTTTGTCCAGTATATTTAAGTAACGGTATCGCGTAACATGCAAACGTGATTAAAAAATTATCTATATTCTCTTTATAAAGAAAAAAGAAAAGTTACCGGCAAGTTAAGAGTAAAAGCAGATTGGATAAGGCCTGATTTTAACATTTCATTTCGAAGAACGACATAAATTGACATTTTTCTTTACAGATGTATATCGAAACACAAAAGGTAAAGCCGTGTAAGCTCTCGAAAAAGAACTTTTACATTAAAGATGATCACACTGAAATGATATCGCCAGTTATTTCAGTCATTACTTTGCAGACAGTATTTCTGACGGAATGGTATGGTTAGGTGTCAACGACAAAGTCGAAGAAGGAACATGGGTATGGCTGGACGGGACCACTCTAGACACTTCCTACTGGTCGTATGTGCAGCTAAATGACTACAGCAGCGGGTATACACCAAACAAATTCACAGCCGAATGTGCTCGGACAAATGATGGGGGTATCGTTGATGATCATTGTTTATTAACATTCACTTATTTGTGCGAGAGACCCGACCTTGTTTAATTTATGACCATGCAATTCAATTCTTTGTAAAATAAGCATTTTGCCAATTTTGTTAATGCTATCGGTCAATAACATACTTAAATCGACGTTACTTTGTAATGTCACTGTTGATTGGCCAAAACTGGAAATCTTTCAATATAAATGTAACAAAAACTTCATTTTATTAATCCAAACTCACTCTTGGCAGAAACTGCGTCGGATTACATGGTTGTTATGAATCAATATCGTCATATTGAATTCAAGTAGTATCTTTCAAAATCATTAACAGCAAACCTGCTCTGGTCTCTTGACATGACATAAATATATTTGTAATATCAACCAGAGTAATAAGCACAGAATATTGTACACATGGTTCACTTCGCGTTATTTTTATGAATTTCAAAATCAAAAGTTCAATCGGATGAATTAAGACAGTGACCACGGCGATCTTATATGAATGGATGCTACTATTATAAACTGGTGTAGGTTTTACCAACTGTGATATTGTCAATACCGTCTATTAATGTTTATTAGAAAAGGAAAAGATCATGAAGAAGACAAAGTTTGCCAAGAAGATGCAATTAACTCATATAACGTGCTTCCGCGTCCTTGTTGATAATTGTAAGGTGCATTGACTCGGGTTCTACTACGGTGCCACGTAGTATCAAACGTAAAAAGATTTGTAACAGACGAGAACTATTTAAAAACTCTCAGTTGTGTAAGATTTTGGCCTATTGATAAGATTTTATATCTTTTACCACTACCTTTCTTTCTTTCTTCTTCTCTTTCTTCTCGGTCTGGGTTATATTACCTGTATGTATAGTTATAGAGGGTAAGCGGTAGCTCTAAGATCTCGTAATGGAGTGTATATCTATTCTTACCACTGTCAGGGTCTAGGGAATAATGTTAAAAGAAAGGACGTTTATTCTTACTTGAAATCGAAAAAGTATGGTATTTATTGTTTAAGCATTTTATGAAAGATAACAATAATTATATCAGAAATCAGTGGGGGTTAGATTGTTTTTAAAACTCTTTATATCCAACGCCAGGGGGTAGCCATTTTAATTAATAGCAATTTTGAAACAAAATTGAAAAGTGAAAAGAAAGATGATTCAGGAAATTTATTGGCTCTAGATATTATAGCAGAAGGTCACAATATTACTTTGGTCACACTGTATGGTCCAAACACTGATTCTCCTAGTTTTTTTTAAATTTTTTAACTGATGCAGTGGATTATTTTGGGAATGATAAACACATCATCTGTGGAGACTTCAACTTAGTAGCAGATCCAGATTTAGACTATGATAGCAGTTACAAAAATGTTAATAACCAGAAAGCCAGAGATAAAGTTTTGGAAATTATTGATAGTTAGTCACTGGTAGATGTATTTCGGGAACTACATCCATAAAGTAGAAGGTATACCTGGAGGAACAAAACCCCGTTAGAACAGGCTCGATTGGATTTTTTTCTTATTTCGGACAACCTTTTATCTAGTGTAAGAAAGTCATCTATTGAGTCGGGATATAGATCAGATCATTCTTTTTCCAGTGCTCTGCTTAAAATTCAATGAATTCAAGAGGGGAAGGGGGTTATGGAAATTACAATACTGTCTTCCAGTATATAATAGACAACGTATAGCTAGTATTCCAGATACAGAAATAGATTTTGTCATTGATGATCAGTTATTTCTGGAAACTTTGTTAATGGAAATCAGGGGTAAAACCATTTTTAATTCTTCATATAGAAAGAAGCAACAAAATAATACAGAAGACAACCTAAGGAAAGTAATTCAGGATATGGAACAACAGTGGCAAGTGGACATTTAGGAATTAGACAAAAAAAAAAAAAAAAAAAAAGGGGGGGGGAATTAGAAACTATTAGGTTAGAGAAGATTAAAGGTAGCATAGTAAGATCTCGTGCAAGATGGCAGGAAAAAGGGGGAAAGCCAACAAGATATTTTTTTAGTTTAGAAAATAGGAACTACACACCTTAAATCATTCCAAAGTTAGAGATAGAAAATAAAGGTACATTGACACGGCAGAAGGAAATTCTTGAAAAGGTTAGGTCATTTTATGAAAATTAATATATGAAGCATAATTTGGTATTTTATCATTAAATATTTTGGAAAATGTAATAAATTCTTTATTAATATCATTCTGTTCAATATGTCCTAAGGATATACACATGTCACACACCTAGGTTCGTGTCTAGTTGACGATCCTATGGTCATTACCTATTTATCCTTTGGTCATTATATGTCAAATTTACCTGGTCACCTGGATACTAAATATGTAATCCTTATTCAGTACTCCAATCTTATATCAGTATATCTAACATGTTGGCGTGATGCATGTTATTTCTTATGCAATGTAACATGTATTTTCCTTGTCCATCTCTATAAAAGCTGGTAATTGTATTAAACAGTCGATCTCTAGGACGTACATCCCTACGTCCGCACACCAATAAACTTCTTAAACAGACAGTCCTGGGCTCAGTCATATTTGCAACCGACACACGAAGAAAGAGAGCTAAAACATTATATATATTGATGATAACTTTCTAGATGATGTGAACTTGAATGAATTTTTAGACACTTTTAATGTTCCAAAGTTAGATAATATAGTTTCTGATAGTTTAGAGGGGGAAATTACTATAAAAGAGGCAGCAACTACTTTGAAAAAATATGTAAAATAATAAAAGCCAGGGAGTCGATTTGGGTTAGAGATTCTATCCAAAAAGAAACAAATAAAAAAATGCCCGCATTACTTCAGGGTCAAAACCAGTAAATGTTATTAACATGGAATAGCACATGTATTCAACAAGTTTGCCTCATCTTCTTTGCTATTAGTTATAAACTTCTGGCAATATAAAATTCCTTATCAACATCCTTGACGGATCAGATCGATAAAGACAGAATCGAGACCCGTCCGTGAAGAAAACTTGTCTCCACTGCCTCAGTGGAAACCGTCGTGGAGCATGTGCAGCGACCCAGGCCATACGACGCTGAAGTTTATCGGATGTGAATGTGAATGTAGATGATGATGATGATGATGATGATGATGATGATGATGATGATGATGATGGACGGGTGGATGATGGATGAATGGATGTTAGTGTTTTTGTTGATATTTGTATACTTAGATGTTTAAAATTGAGAAAAAAAATGTAAATAAAAAAACTCATTGATATCCTTATTATAAACCATCTTTAATCCACGATGCTGCTAACGTTTCTGCTCTTCAAGATATTTTGTAATTCATTAAATTGACATGGTCAAACTCAGAACATTACTACACTATTAGTGTACAGGCCTGCTCATTTGCAAAGTCTTGAAACAATAGGTATAATCATCGATACAGTTTAACCAAAATTCGCCAACAAGTGACAATAAGGAAATTCTGCTATAATGCTATGTACCGTTTCGCACATCAAATGATATGTAATTGATGATTGGTATAAACACGTGTGTCCCAAGTCTCATGTTGATATGATCTCTAAAGTTGGTTAATTTGATAAGAGTCAAATTTTCCTCGATCGCTTGAGTTACAGGTGAAGTACTGTACTGAAACAGTAAATATTGGATAGCAAACTTAAGATCATCTTCTTCAAACGATTTATCTTACAATACTGAATAGATTAGCGACATCGACAGATATGTAGTTAAATTGTTTATGGTGCATTGATACAGTCTCAATTTCATAAGTAATGATAATTTTACAAGCCAAAATCAAACGTGATTACCGATTAAATGAACTGTTCGTCGAAGAGGTCTGAATCGCACCAACAAAAATATACTAATAATGGCCATTAAAATGACGAATTTTGACGAATCCAGTTTTTTGGACGATTGAACTATACTATATAAATGCCCGTACAAGCGTTTGAATGACATTGATGTTTTTAACAATAAACATTTCGGTTATACAAACAACGACGGTTCGAAAACTCAATTTCTCGAAGTAATAAAGTTTATTAACAACGTAAACTGACTTAATATGTTTCATTTGTACCAGTGAGACGACGAACACGGCAAAAGAAATTGACTTAATAGCTCCTGCTACTGTACAGCTAATCATTAAGAAAAAAAGTCCCGTGAATCTAGACACATTGGTGTTAGCTAAATCATGAAATGATCATTTATTCTAATTTTATATATAACCAAGAAAAATCATAATTATTCAAAATAAACTAACCAAGTGATAAGCTGCATTTGAAGCCAATTTATTGAATATGTGTTGTATAATTTGTGCAATTTGCGGAGACTTCAATCTAGTTTTGAATCCAGCCTTAGACTATGATGATAATTATAGACGTATTAACAATGCTGCAGCTAGAGATAAAATGTTGGAAATTATTGAATATAATGATCTTATCGATATTTATAGAGAACGCCATCCAGACTCTAGACGCTATACCTGGCGAAGAGTTAACCCTGTCAAACAAGCAAGACTGGATTTTTTTTCTAGTTTCAGAATCTCTGCTCCCCAATGTAAACAGTTCTAGAATTGAACCAGGATATAGATCCGATCATTCCGCTCCACTTATAACTTTAACTTTTAATGAATTTAAGAGAGGGAAGGGCCTGTGGAAACTTAATAATTCTTTATTATATGACCCTGATTACCTTGATGTTGTTAAAAAAATGTATTGAAGAAGTGAAAGCAAGCTACTGTCTACCTGTATATAATATCAACTCTATAAATGACATCTCTGATAGTGACATACAATTTCTTATAAATGATCGTTTGTTCTTAGAAACTTTGCTGATGGAAATTAGAGGTATGTCTATTTCATATGCTTCTTATAAGAAGAAACAAAGCAGTCTTAGAGAAGAAGAACTTAAGGTTACAATTTCACGTATAGAAGCTGAAGAAAATCCAGATAAGTAAAGCTATATCGGAAAAAAAGGCATTAGAGTCGATTCGTTTGAAAAAAATTAGGGGAAACATGATTAGAGTTAAAGCAAAATGGATAGAGGAAGGAGAAAACCTACATCACACTTTTTGAATCTAGAAAATAGAAATTTCACCTCCAAAATAATCCCCAAAATTCAGAAAGAAAATATTTTGACTTCAAAGCATGAAGATATTTTATCCGAGCTGAGATCATTTTATGAAAATTTATATAAGTTCAGGGGGGCAATTAGTGTTGATTTAGATGTTCATCTGCAAAACTGTAGTATTAAAAAATTAAGTAGTTCAGAATCTGATAGTCTTGAAGGTCACATAACTTTTAATGAGTCAGGAAGAGCTCTAAAGGACATGAAAAATAACAAGAGTCCAGGGTCGGATGGTTTTACTACAGAATTCTTTAAAGTTTTTTGGAAATATTTAGGGATATTTGTTGTACGTTTTATTAATTATAGCTTTTTAATTGGTCAGTTTTCAGTTTCTCAAAGACATGCTGTAACTACTTGCATACCAAAGGGAGATAAACCTCGTCATTTAAAAAAAAACTGAAGACCTATTTCACTCTTAAATGTAACCTATAAAATAGCTTCTGGGGCAATTACACATAGGATTAAAACAGTGTTAGGGAATATTATTAGTGAGGATCAAACAGGTTTTTTATCGGGGAAATATATCGGTGAAAAAATTCGTACAGTGTACGATATCATGCAGTATGCAGAGGAACATAATATTCCGGGTATGTTAATGTTAATTGATTTTGAAAAAGCTTATGATTCGGTTTCTTGGAATTTTATAGATAAGGTTATGGGGTATTTTAATTTTGGTAACGATATAAGGAAATGGGTAAAAACTTTTAATACTAATGTAAATGCTTGTATTAACCAAGGTGGTAATATTTCTAAACAAAAAAGCATCCAGCGCGGATGCCGTCAACGGGACCCTATCGCCCCCTATATCTTTATTTTATTTTTTTTTTAAAGTTTTAACAGCAAGGATAAAAAGCAATGGGTATATAAGGGGGATAGATATTGAGAATACAGCAGTCTTAAATGTTCAGTATGCTGATGACACAGGGCTGATATTAGACGGGTCAGAGGGATGAGGGAGTCTATTAGTGAGTTAATCAACTATGCATCTCTATCTGGTCTCAATATTAATACAAGTTAATCACAAGTAGTTTGGATAGTGAGTAGGAGATTTAGTGATACAACATATTTACCAGAACTTAATCTGCAGTGGGGTAAACATAAATTCTCATTTTTAGGTGTAGACTTTTCCGTAGATATGAGTGAAATTCCAAAAATGAACTTTGATAAAAAAAACTTGTTAAACTTAAAGCCCTAATTAAAACATGGAGTAGACGGTATCTGACACCAATTGGTAAGGTAAATATTATAATATCCTTGTTAATTTCACAATTGAATTACATGTTTATTACTCTACCTAATCCACCAGTC